TATATATTAATAATGAAAATAATTTTTTAAATTTTTCATAACTTAATAGTAATTAAATTTTTTAAAAAATATATTATATTATTCAATATAATAATATAATATATAATTTCTTCTTTTTTCTATATACTGTATCAGATATAAAATCTGTCATTTAATGATGGGTTCTTCAACCAGTAAATAAATAAATTATTAAATTTCCTTAATATACAGTATCTCTTGTCTAAATATTATTTTGATATTAAAAACACCTTTTTACAAGCTATATTGTATAATCTAATTGTATGTAATTTTAAAGCTAATTGTTTTATATAATTTTTATTATTCTTTAATTTTATTATAATTTATCAATTAGCCAATGTGTTAATTTTTTTAATATATGGATTTCAAAAGATAATTTCCTAAATTAATATAAGTTCAATTATACAAATAAAAAAACAAATTAAAAAAGCATTTTAGAGTGGATACCATATGAGAATTTTTTGGATATTGAATATATCAGAATTAGTAGATTTAGTAAAGTTTAAAGCAACATGGTACAAGGGATATATTAAACATTGGAATTTATTAATGTGAGAAGTAGTTAGTTTCAAATCCGTGGAAGTGGCATTGAAAGTGCTCTATCATTCAACGGATATGAGTTCAACCTTTCTAAATGAAGTATGCATCTTATTTTCATTAATATTTATTTTCTATTCCATTTTCTTACAAATTATTCATGTGTTTTTATCGTTACAATTTTTATACTTATTTAAATCAAGCGAATTAGAATATCGTCATATTGTTAAATGCTATGGAGTTTCGCAGGATCCGAAACCAAAATTTACATTTTTGTCATACAATATGCAAATTACGGGAACTTGAGAAAACTCTTGGCAACTGAATTTAGTGGCAGGGTAAATTGGAGCCTTAAAAAAAAGGTTGTCCTCGCATTCTTGGGATCTATCAAAGAGATTTATCGACAAAATTTAATACATCGGGATCTGCATAGTGGTAATATATTGGTATCTACATGAAAAAGAAAGTCCACATTAATATTTTCTCATTGATAGGCGATTTAGGGTTAAGCCAGCCCGTGAATAAAAGTCTGAATCCATTAATGGAATTATTCCTTATATGGCACCCGAGAATTTTGATGGAATATATTTGACACAATCTGACATATATAGTTTGGGCATGATTATGTGGGAACACACGTCTGGTCACCAACCATTTCATGATAGAGCACATGATGAAAACCTCATTATAGAAATAATTAAAGGGACGAGACCAGAAATTACTAAGGATACACCCAAGTGTTGGGCAAATGTAATGAGAAGGCGTTGGGATCAGGACCGCTTAAAACGACCAACAATTGAAGAACCAATAGAAAATTTAGATCCTGAATTATTTCGAGCGACAGAGGAAAAACGGGAAGAAATGATAAAATCCGGAATTCCATTTGTAGAAAAACCGGGATTCGAACATCCAAAGTCTGTTTATTCTAGTAGAACATTGGATTATCTAATTGAGAATTCAAAGGTCATTTTATATAATCTATCTAATACCGGAGAAATTTCAGGTAAATCTATTATTCATTTAATTATTATTATTTTTCTGTTAAACCCGGTTCAAAATTTGTGAACGTACTGTACTGTATATCTTTATCATTAAATTAATCCATTTCTATAGAACATCATTCCAGTAACGTTTCGGAGAATTCTTTGTGAGTGTTACCTCGTTATACAATAAATTTTTTTCTCATTAAACAATTTTATCGATAATTAACTCAATAAACTATAATACTATTGGTGTCCCTAATTAGGACAAAATGTGAATTTGAAGAGACTTATGGTAAGAAAGGAAGATTTTTGTCTGTTTATTATAAATCTGACTAAAATATAATACGTTTTTATTATACTTAGATTGCCTTGAGATCGTATATGGTAAGAATCTCTTTATTTAAATAATGTTAACTCACATGTCTATTTATTAAGAAACCATTTGTACATATAGAAATTGATTTTGACTTGTAAATAAGTTTTAAAAGTTATACCAGTATCTGAAAATTTATTTTTTAAGCTAATAATCTTGCGTTAAAGCAAACAATTTAATGACCTTCCGGTAATGCTTACTGTATATAGTGTAGCAACATTAATTTAGAGCTAGAATATGGATTTTTATATTAATTGATCAATAAAGTTGATAAACTTCAAATACAGTAAATACAGTACGTACTTCCTTGAAATTGAAAATTTCTCCTAAAAATTTTGAATTACTCATTATGTTTATGCACTGCAGCATCAAGCATAATTTCTATGCAAATATCTTGAGCGCAGTACTATAATTTCCAATTAATTAACTGTATTTAAATAATTGCAATCGATATATTTCTTTATCAATTATTCGATGTACAGAGTACATTATATCCTTTAAAATGAATGGACACGATAAAATACAGTATCGGGATTACAAACGATATTCGGAATTTGATTACAGTATTTCCAGCAATAGATATAATTTAAAAGGCAATAAAAATCTTTTTTTTAAAACAAATCAATAAAATTTTAAACGATTTTATGAACATACGTTGACTGTAGAATATCACGAGAAAGTTGATAAATAATGAAAACATTATTGATTCGACTTTTCATCTACAATATGATGCCCATTTCACTTATTTTACGAAACAATTTAAGAATCTTATATTCAACCTACACAATACAAAAGTTAATTATTCATACAATTAATGGACTTTGCAAAACAGTAAAAAATTCTTTTGATTAACAAAAACAAAAAAGAAAAGAAGAAAGATTCATCAGAACAATTTGTGGACCATAATTTATTTAGAATGCTTTATTGAATTAACGTCATCGATTAGTAAAACAATGTGCCTAGCTACCATATACAGTCGTTATGATGTAATATTTTATCAAGAGTTAGTTGATATTTTGGAATATTTATCTTAATGCATGTTCACTGATTGTTAATACGTACTGTATTTTCTTTGTTTGGGTGTACATTATATTGAGGGTTTTCATCGAGTTATGTTGGAAAGTCATGAGACTAAATTTGAATTTAAACAATAATTACACAAGTATAGCACGAACAATTTGACAGCAAGCACTATTGTACTGTATCACAGAAAGCACAGACCGCCAAGCATAAGCGCAATACAGTAGTATGACAAACCAAACATAAGATCATTTGTACTTAGTTAATAATTAGAGATAAATAGTCAAATTGAGGTGCAAGATTACACGGACTAAATATTAGAATAATAGTCATAGTCATTGCCATTCCTGAAAAAAGATGCTTAATATCTACTTAATTCTTTTATCAATTCAATCCGTTAAAGCTCAAGATATCTCATCTGATAATTATGGAGACCTCAAAGACCTTTTTTACAGTCTTATGTTTATTATAGTTGGAGCCTTGGCTCATTATATTTCGAAAAAATATCATTTGAAATATTATAACACATGGCTCGATATTTTTATAAAATTTAGTGAGATTCTTTTAATATCATCTGTCCCTTGCTTTGTGGTATCCTTTGAGCTTAATATGTTC